TGGAAGGAAAAATAAGATTTGTACTTAGTTCTTGTTACCCTACTCCAATTTGATTGGTAGTGTTAAATTAATTTCCCTGAGTTTAGTGTGTTTTGCCTGTGATGGTAATTGGTCAGAGTGATATGTCTGTCATCATGTTGCTCCCTCGTCCAGTTGAGGAGGGGAATGATAGAGCAGCTTTGGTGGGCATCTGGTGGCCACCCAAAATCAAACCAGCACACCAAAGCAAAAGCTGTCTCTCAGCTTCTTTGCTTGATCTGTTGGTATTCATTGTGTACTACCATGGAGAGTCTGGCTTCATCTTCAGTACACCTTTTGGGTAGGCTTCTTGTCCTCAGGCTGAACACCCCCACCTCCAGATCCCGAGGACCTTAGTGGTGCTGTGAGAGTCTCCTCCTGTCACCCTGGTGCAGCAGCCCAGTGGAACCCAGGTGGTGCTCTTCTCCCCTCTCCCTTGGGGCTCAGCCTGGAATTTGGGAGTACTGTAGTTGTCCATGCTAGTATCACAGAATCTGTTTTTAAATAGTTCCTCCAGCCAGTTCAAAAATGCCTTCCTTTGCCCCAGCACTCTCTTGCTCTCTCTCTGCAGTTGTATTGTGTGTGTAGTAACCCCATGCAGTTGTATTGTGCCCCATCATCCTACTTCCTATTGAAAATACTAGCCAGTATCACCCCTGGTGTTCATTACATCTTCAGCTGTATCTGAGCAATTTATCTAAAAGCAGTTCTTCTCTGCATCTACATTTTCAAGAGGAACATAGCTTTCCAGGAGGGATCAAAGAAACTTAGATGAGTGTAATGAACAATCTCCTCATCGTTTTAAGCTGTGAACTCCTGGGAGCTTATACCATTTCTAAGTATATGCTTGTGTAGTCTCTGAGTTTCTGCATGACCCCAATTCTCATTTGGTTTTCTGCTTCTATCATAATATTATTTAAAAGGTGACCTTCAGGAGAAAAGAGGAAAGGGATTTTTCTCCTTTGTAACTTTATTGCAAACGTCCCAGTCTGTGGTTGGTGGGTAGGGTTTTTATTGACTTTGTTTTGGTGATTCCTTCCTCCCACGCGTTACATACATTTTTATCCTCTCTGCTTTAGAAAGCTGTGTGCCTAATGGCAGACAGCTTGGGAGGGCTCAGGTGCCTGGGAAATCAGACAGCAAGAAGACAGTTGAAGGGATAATTGACTTTCAGTTTTAAAGGTGCCAGCTTTTGTTGAGTACACCTTCTTTTCCAAACCTGAGCATTTAGCACGGTTCTCCCTCCTGTACCTCCAGGTAAGGATTGAGAAAGCATTTAAGCAGTGTTTTTCAGAAAGCAAATGAAACTTCCAGTAAGAATGGGCATTCTCTTACTGAATGAGCGTAAGGAAAACAGTTTATTCAGGACATTCTTCGTGCAGTTTAAACTAGCAAAGCAAACCAACCAAAAAGGGTCAAACACAATTTTTTTCCTTTTCAGGTCACCTTTGAGGGCTCTATAGAACAAGACAAGGATTTTTCATTCTTTTAGGAAGCAAGTAGAGAGACGATGGAATTTGCAAAGCTCAGGTGTGTGAAGGGTTTGTGTCAACCTGTGGTACTCCCCTTTTCAGTCTTCGTTTGGCAGTCACTCTGGTCCTTACGTAGACCAGAAACTATAGTTTATCTGCTGTATCTTGACACAAATACATCTTTCCCTTGCTGTGTGACTATTCTGAGAAAATACTGGTTGCTATCACTTACGGAGGGTTGAGGTACTTAGTTTTTCTCCTTCAGTTAGATAAAGTGAGTGATCAACAGGAGAGCATGCTGAGATACATAACGTGCTTCCACTATTTTAAGAAATCTTTTTTTTAAATGGCGTTTCTCTCATGTGGAATTGATTGGGGTGTGTTTTCAGCACATGAATCCCAACAAGTAACTACTGGTTTATGTCAGCTAATACCATAGGAAACTATTCATTTGGCAAAGGAAAGAAATTACATTGGCATTAAGCAGGAATAAATAGAATATAATCCAGCATTTGAACTTCCTGTTTATCTGACAGAATTAAAGGAGTAACCTCATTGTTTTTTGCAGCTTCCTGAGGAGGGGAAGTGGAAAGGGAGGTGCTGAGCTCTTCTCACTGGTATCCAGTGATAGGACATATGGGAATGGTTCAGAGCTGTATCAGTCAGAGTTCAGTTTGAACATTAGGAAGCGTTTATTTACTGAGAGGGTAGTCAAACACTGGAACAGGCTTCCTAGAGAGGTTGATGCCTCAAGCCTGTCTGTATTTAAAAGGCATTTGGATACTGCCCTTGATAACATAAAGTAGTCAGGCGTTTGGACCAGATGATTGTGGTAGGTCCCTTCCAACTGAACTATTTGTACTGTCCTGTTCTGTTTTGTTCAGTTCTGTTCTAAAGTAATCACAGAATCTTGATTACCTGCAGTTTGACTGGGGTTTGTTTTGGTTTGCTTTTTTCCCCTTAGTGTGGTCCAAGTAGCTTAGATACACTTGCTATCATAACACAGTCCTAAACCAATTAATCATTTTCCTCCTCCTTGGATGCTTCTGAGTCCAGACTGGATATAGGGAATGTGACACTGTATAGTTGAAATTACTGTGTCAGCCTCTGTCCTACTCTTTGAGATCCGTAGTTAAGTTTCTTTGAGTTTGGATCCTGAAATGTTGTACAGTTGCTTAGATAGAGCTACAGAGACAGATGCTGGGAGAGAAAAAGTCTCCTCTTTTCAACTTCCTAGTGAGACTTAAGAATTCATTGCTTTCACTTTCCTATTCTTGAGTCAGCAAGCAGTATGTAGTCAAGCCCAAACCTTTTTTTTTTTTTTGGCTTTTTTTGTGCTGTTGCACATAATATCTGACTTTAAAAATTGACAAATCTGCATGAAAACTGCCAGGACTGGTAACTCTGGGCCAGTAATACTGCTGGTCCATGTCCTACCTCAATTTTTATTTTGTAATCTGTGTGGTGGCCATATCACATGCATCTGTGATGTGCAATGTGGGATGAGGGTAAAATGGTAGCTCATTCTTGCCTCTGAAGAGGGATGAATTTAATGCTTGCTGTGCTTTATCTCCTGGAGCAGTCTGCCTCTGGCTGCTTGGTTATGGAGAGTGAATGATGGTTCCCTGTCTTGGTTGTAGCCTTGTTTAATGGTCTGCGCAAGTAGTTCCTAGAGTCTTGTGAGATATTTTTAAGCCTTCTTTGAAGTATTTACACTTACAGATAACCAGTTTGACACTTGGTGTATTTGAGTTTTAGTACACCTAGAATACCACATACCAGGATTGGGACTGTCAGCTGTTATTTCGGTGGGAATTATTTTAGTTCAGGCTGTGTGGTGCTCATTTCTGAACATGGTAGTAATGAGCCACAGATGGAGGATTTTTGCCTGTAGTATAGATGTTATTTATGTTTGATTTGATTTAATATGAAGCCAAACTTTTAATGGAGTCGGTACATTTGTCTTTGCGAGTGGTTTATCTTTAGCCAAAATAAATATTGGGGTGAAAGACATTTTTGTAGCTAGGTGTTGGAAGCACAAAAGAGTAATCTGCCCTGGAGGTATGAAAGTAACAGAAAGTATAATTTCAGTTAAAAAAAAAGCCCAAACAAACAAACCAAAACCCACCAAAAAAAATACACTGAAGTTTCAATATTACTATCAAAAATTTGAAATTTCACAAAGCTTCTGTGAACTGCTGTGTTTACTGGTGTAATTCTTCATAAAAGAGTAAAGTAGAGTCTGAATAAATTACTTGTAACTCCGAGGAATGTATTTGTATGAGCTGCTGTAATGTTTTATTTCCATTCTGGTGGAGATTTCTCAGATTGTAAGGATGGATTCCTTGGCAGCCTCACTTAAGGGAGTCTAGCAAGTCTCATGCAAATAAAAGCACCTTCAGAATAAGTGTTATTTCTTTTTCTCTTTCTCCTTTTTGTGAGATTTATTTACTTCAGAGGTCATAAGTTATCAGACTTTTGATCTATACCCTTCTCTATGCCTGTGATAAGTAACTTTTTGCTTTGGCTTAGGACAGATACCAGCATTACTGTCCAACAAATACTTTTTCACATTTATTTAGCTGTGGTGTTAGTGGAATGATAAGTAGTCATTTAAAGATTCCCTTTTTTCTGAAAGCATGAATGCTTTAGTAGGGAGGCAGGGTTTTTTCCCTTAAGATTTTATGCCATAGTACCTAGTTTATTATTTTAAGATTAATATAGCAAAATATTTATTTTGAGGAATTCCAAATACTGGTTTATTACCTTATGTGACTGGAGCATTTACATAGGGTTGCTTTAAATCAGACTGCAGCCTTGTGTAGGACATTGTGCAGAGACAGTCAAAGGTTTAAGCTAAGTTTGCACCAGAGATTGTTCATCGTTACTCTTCTGTAGATACAACTTGCACTGACAAGGGAGTGCGTAAACTTTGCTGGGAAGCATACATTTTTGTCATCAAAGATGTATCTATTGAAGATCTTTTGATTAGTTCAAAAAGAGGTGTTGGGTATGCATCAGTGTTTCCCAGATGCTTTTAGTGAGGGTTCAGTATTCATCTTATCTTGAAAAAACTTGGCCATGGGGCAATGGAAGGCAGGACAGTGTAGGATCTTCATCAAACAGAAGAGTTGAAAAGAGAATGAAACCCAGGGGTTTGGCCTGGTGTCCACAAGGGCACTTCCATAACAGATGTTAAACCTAGCATGGAAGGGTATTTTCCATACACCACCGCTTTGCGGTTTTGGTTTTTGAGGTTTCCTCTCTGGAAGAGTGAAACTTCCCTGGCAATACTGATGCATTTGTAAATCAAGCTTTCCCCCGTCAAAGAAAGTAAGTTGGTAAATGTGAAAAGGAACACTTGTGCAAACGTATAGAAGTTTAGTAAATAAATATAGCAATATTTCCTCCTAAAAGATATTTTTATCTGTTAGATTTTGATGTAATTAGTTTGTCATGTCAACAAAATCTTTAAATGGAACTGCTTAAATGTGGATTTTCTTTTTTCAGCACTGGTTGGACCAATCAAAATTCATTAAGAAGCAAATAAAAAGTAAGTAGCATGTCTCTGCTTGTTTATTTTGTTACTTCCTTGAGAATATGAACTTAGAGTATTTGAACATGATTGTGAATGTTTAAACATGGCCTTTAATGGAATAAATATTTCTTAGGAAATAGATTTAATGGCTAATTGGCTGACTATATCATGCTAAATGCAAGAGCACGCATAAGCGATAGACCAGCCTTCAGCAGCCCTTGTTAAACATGTGCTGTTTGTCTGAGACAGAGTAGGTTGTCAGGTAATTTCAGCCTGATCTGTGAAATCAGGTTGCCTGGACACCGATCATGTTTTCTGTCACTGCTACTGATCTGGAACAAATTTTCTGATTGTTATTTTATTACTTTTATTCAAAGACTGAGTAATGGAAAATATTTTGTTGTATAATGGTTAACCTCTTTTTTTGTATCATGAATAAAACCAGCAGAAATACCTTCTGTTTCATCAAGTGGGTGGTGGGGTTCGGTTTGGCCACTGAGTACTTTGTGGAAATTGGCTAAGGTGGGCAAGTTGCTTTTGGATTTCTAATAACCTGGTTACAGGCTTGGATACAGTACAGCATCAGCAGTAACATGTTTTGTTAATATACTGCAGTTGGCCACAGCCATAGACAGGCATAGATAATCTTACGTGAGATTAAAATACCATTTCTGTGAGATTAAAATATAGTGTTTTGAAAGGAAATTGTTGACCCTCTTGAAGGATCTCACAGAAATGGGTCTTGATTGCTTCATTGGTGCTTTGCCCTTCTTTCCGATAAGTATCCAAATATCTAGATGATTTTTGTAAATGGTGGAGTTCTTCAAAGGCCTTTAGGACAGTTTGCTTTCAACCCACAGTGTGTGGCTATTATTCTGCTAGAATAGATGGTAAAGATAGCTGCTGTAGGTAAGGTTTTGGTGGTTGGCTTTCTCTCATCTTTTCATCACATCACAGGCTGCTTTACCTGAAGTGACTAAGGGATTTGCAGGTGCACTTTCTGTTACAGCTGTGTCCTTTTCTTGATCTGCCTTAAAATGTGGAAAATCAATGATTCTGTAACACCTTCAACCAGTTTAGTTGCACTGTTTGGTCTGTTTAATCTGTGAAGGGCCTATTTTGAAAAGAAATTGGCCAAGCCATGCCCTGAGGAATGCCAAAGAGGGAAGCAATTTGATGGGTGTTGTAAAGGTCTGCCTCACAACAGGATACTCTTCTTTACCTTGCATTCAGCAGGTGCTTTGAGGAGAGTTCCTCTTTCATGATGGATGTGCTCACTGCTCTTTTTTTCCCAGCAGTGGGCAGGTAAGAGTCATTATTTCACTGATGCAGACCTTACCAGTAGTGCCTGTCAGCTGAGGGTACTATAACCTGTCTTCTAGGAGCTATTGCTGGAGACAGTGTCAAAGCTCTAATAATTACAGGTTTAGCTGCACATGTTTTTAGTAGAGTGGATGGTTGATATGCACATACATACTGTGTTGATGTGGTGTTACAGAAGACCTTAGAAAGGTGTGAAAGAAAGTTACTTTTCTACCACTTAATGTACCAGCAGGCTGTTGGTCTGGAAGATGATGCCTAGGCAGATAAGGAAATATTGGTCATAGTCTCATAGTGTCTGATTTTGTTATCTGTGTTACATAGAAAGTCAGACCTAGCATTCACCTTCTGATATTAGAAAACAATTCTCCCAACACCAGTTTGTGGAATATGTTAGCTTTCTGTGTTCATGAGTGCCTTTCAGAGCCCTCTCCAGCACTTTCCACAGTATTTATCTAACCCTTTCTCATTCACTTGTACCAGTCAAAATCTGATCTATTGGGTCAGGTGTTTTTTGGAGTTGTGTTTGTGCCTGATAAGAAGCATCACCCTTTTCCTTCCTCTCCCTTCCATCTCCCTCTGCCTCCAGCAATAGGCAGTGTACCTGGAACTTGCTGTGGGCGCACCTCTTTGAACAAAAATGTGTTTGCCAAATGGGCTGTTGCTGGATTAATCTAATTATTAGAGTATCATAAAGTATGGTGGTAATCTATTTTTTTTTTTTTTTTACTGCATGCATTTTACAATTTAAAACCATGAAATATTGGCTTCTTCAAAGAATGTGAAAAACACAGCTCGCTTTGGGTTTCTTGGGTTGTGGGGTGGTGGTTGTTGGCCTGTCTTAGGAGATGCGCAACTAGTGTAAACTTTTTGTTTTCCCCTGTTTAAAATCTCTGCATACACAGTTGGACCTCCATACACGTTGCATTTTCGAATAAAGTACTATTCATCAGAACCAAACAACCTTCATGAGGAGTTTACAAGGTAGGAACTTTGTCCCCTTTGCTCTGAGAATTGGGGATGATTTAATAATGGTACAAAGGCCACAGAATTATGGGAATAGGCAGCTTGAGTTCTTGGTTAACAGCTGATTGACTGAATCTCTTCCACTTCCCCACGTGTTCTCTGTGGTGCGAAAGACTGCAATTGTATAAAGTTGCCTTAGGATACCTGGAGATCTTTTGTTTCAGCCTGGTGGGCTGTTTTCAGGGGTGTAAAAACTACACCTTGCTGGGTTCATAGCACCTGGGTGCGAGCTGGAGGATATTCTGAAAACTGAGAAAGGAGCAGCTGGAGGAAAAGGATTTTACTTACCTTTTGTATCTGCCTACTTTGTGTCTTCTTTGTATAGTAATTAACTATTATAATGTTATTCTATCTTTTTTTTTTCTGTCTGTTTCTCACCATAGGGCATTTTCTATGTCTTCTAATTTGCTTGGCAATAGTCAGTGTACTCCCAATCAGCCTAAGGTGCTTAAAGACTGTTGATTGTTGTAGTTCATGTGCATGTGATGTTTACATTAAACTTACACTTGCAGACATAAGTTTACTGTCTCCTATCTGCTGTGTTGACCATGGTGAGGTTTTTTTCACTGCCTGAGACAAGATGAAAGAGCTAATTGTCACTACCTTATGATACTGACATGGAGGATTTAATATCCACTATCAATTTAGTGCAGCAGTGTTAATTCGATAAAAGGACATATTCCTATACAATGTATAATTAACCTATAGAACTCCTTGCCACTTAAGTGATTAAATACAAGATCTTAAGGGAATCAAAAAATCTGGATGATTTGAGGGCATCTGTAATGAGAAAATGTGGTTAAATTAGTAGGAATAATATATATTTTCTGAAAATCGATGTAAGTCTTCATACATCAGGGTGCATGTCTGACAAGTATTACATTTCCCCTGTGGTCGCATTATTCCATTACTGTCTACTGCAAGATTTCTTGCTTAATCCTCTGAAGCATATGATCCTAGTCACTGGAAGATGTGGGTTTCTGAGCTATGTGATCATTGCTGTGATCGAGTAAGACATTTCCTCTGAAAGTATTAACCTCTGATGCTTTGTGATCTAATTGTTGCTGAAATATGACAGTTCAGAAGATTATTTTAATTAGAAAAACACTTTAGTCAGCTAAATTTTCAGTGTTATGAACAATTTTATTTAATCATAAGCTTGACAGAAGATGTCTGTGAAACTAGGTAAGGAAAATGAAAATGAGCTAGAAATTGATTTTATGGTGAACAAATAGTTGTATTTTTCTTTTTTGTAGGGGAGAATAATTTTGAATGTTGCTGGGTTTTTTGAAGAATCTTTACACTAGCTGGATCAGATTTTCCATTTAGCATGTTGAGTAAAAAGTGAGGATTAAAAACTATAGACTCAGAATTCAAATGGGAGTAAGAGCAGGAGGAAAAAATACCATTAACAGTAATCATGAACTGACCTGGTTGGAGGTGGAAGTTCAAAATAGACTCCAGTTTGTAGTGAAGATGTCAATGTCACATTCTCATAATAAGCACAGAGTTGAAACCCATCACTCATTCTGTCTTTTAACAATTCAACAACACAGTTTAAATCCATTTGGAAGACATCTTCTGTCACCTTTATGGGACCTGTTTAGGTAGGTCAGTTAGAAAAACAACAGAGGAATGTGTGTCATGGAGAATTTGCTGATTTGGAATATCAGCAATTGAGATTCTGATGCTTGTCAGTCTGTGTGCAGAAAAAGAGCAAGAGTAAACCATACCAACCAGAGCGAAGCCATGGTGCTTTACAGGCCAACTGACACAGGCAGAAGAACTGCCCAGATTTTTTCTTTCAAATTTAGAAGAGTTCATGAGATTGTGAATCATCAGAGGAAAACAATAGGAACAGGAAATACACTTGTCTATGTTTAATCTATGCATGCAAATACCCAGGTTTGATTGGCATGTCAGGTATTAGCCAAGTATGTGAATCAGAGCTGTGACAGAGCTAACGTGGATAAATCTAATTCTGCTTTAGTGTGTCATGAGAAGTCTTTTTCATCTTCCTTTTCATTTCTATTTCCCTGTCTGATTCCAACTATTCGTCCTTCCTCACATTCACAGCACATCCTCTGTGATGAAAAACACTTTGTCTTTCTGGCTCCTTTGTAAAGGTAGCAGAGGTTTACTTACATTCACATTTACTGGGTTGACACTCAGTAGTGCTTTGTACTTGCTTCTCTTGCATCACGCATCATGGCAAGCCTCACCCCACAGTGTCCAAAGCAGTGCAGAGCCTGCCTGTGCCACCTTGTCCTGAACAGAGCTCTTGCATGACCTGGGGTGCTTCTGCATACCTCAGACCCTAACTCTGAGTGACTGTGAAACATGAAATGTGCCTATAACTGAAAATTAGCAACAGCTTAAACTACTACTACAGTTTGAAGGCTGTAAATTCCTACTTGGCCTCCTAAATAAATGTGTGGACTCTATGGAGTTCAGGTTTCTTTTATTCAGAAGTTTTCTGCTATTTTAAATTATAATTCAACCTGGGCTTTTTCTTTTTGGTAATGTGGACTCTCCCATGTTCTGTGTTTGAGAAGGTAGACCTGAAGTCTTCATGCCTTTGACTCTAGATCCTGTAGTTCAATTCTTCCTTGAATTGGGAAGGACTCAGATCAAGAGAATGTCAGAATATCAGTTACGTTTAGGTTGCTGTGGTGTATGCTCAAACAGAGCACATCAGTAAACAGCAAGGCTTTGGACAATGTCCTGAACACAGCCAGCAGATGAGAAATGTTCTCTTCTTTCTGATTTTAATGAAAGCTAGGGGAAGTTTGAAGGTTGCAGGGTGTATCTGGGTGATCCCAAAGGCCCTTTTTCTTAAGAGCCATGGGGGCTAGAAAGATGACATTATATATACTTCTGACTTTCTGAATTTTTATTTGTCAGGTACCTGTTTGTATTACAGCTCCGGCAAGACATTCTTTCAGGGAAGTAAGTACCTCTTTGCTCTTGCAACTGTAATTTAACGTATTTATTATAGCTAATCGCTCGGTGATTTAAAATTTTACTTTAACTGTGTGATCCTTTTAATTCTGTATGGTATTTGTGCACAGATTATAAGCATGATTTACAGTTCCGCGTGCATGGGTTTTTTTTGCTTTAGAATACAGAGATAGATGACTTTGTGTGCATCATGATTATATTATTGACAAATAGAATGGGTAAAGACCTTTAATGGATCAACCAGGTGATGGAAACACATAAAGAGCAAAGACTGTCCTGATTATTATTATGACTTGAAAATGTAACTTGTGCTTGCCATATTTTTCAGCATGGTAGGTAAAACATGGGAGGAAAAGATGAAGTGCAACACTTTCTCTACAGGTCAACCCTGCAAAAGTACTTTGTGTGTTTATAGTCTCACCCTGGCCAATAAATTCACACCTGCTCTATTTTCCTTTTTTTTTTTTTTTTTAATTACAAAATCAAAAAACCTCAAAGCCATGTTCTAAAATACAGTGTGGAAGCAAAATTGGTCCCTTAGTCAGTTTAATGTTGTCTCTATTAGTTCAAGCTTGTTTTATGGTGGAGTGTATCATGTGTTCAGTGTTAACTAGAATGTACCAAATTAGGAAGTAATCATATACAAGTAAAAATAATTTTAGATGTTTCATAACATTAGTAGTTCATGGAAGTTAATGTTTCCATTTCTTACATTAAGCTACTTTTTAGCTTTATTGCAAGAAGAATTCACTGAGAAAGGCAACATGATTTTTATACCTTATTTTTTTCTTTTCAAGACTGAAATGCCCATATGAAACTGCTGTTGAACTCGCAGCTCTGTGTCTTCAAGGTATGGTCTCTTTTCACTCTTTGTTACTAGTGCTTTCTCATTCATCATATATAAATGCCATTCCTTTAGCTGAGGAGAAGAATGTTAGGAGATCACTTCCGTGCCTTCCCCCCGTTCATAACTTCTGTACTCCACTGGCCAACACTGGCACACTTGCCAAAGGGAAGAAACCTTAAAGGAGTGGATGGGCAAAATGTTCCATGGCGACCAGGGAAGAAAGACCTCAAATAGTTGCCCACTGAGTGAGAAGGTGTAGTGTGTTCACAGTACTGCTGGCTCAGCCTGAAGAGCCAGGTGGCCCTTCAGCCCATGCTTCATAGAATCAGCTAGGCTGGAAAAGACCTTTAAGTCCAACCATTACTCCAGGACTGCCATGTCCACCAGTAAGCCATGTCACTGAGAGCCTCATCTACATGGGTTTTGAACAGTGATTCCACCACCTCCCTGGGCAGCCAGTTCCAATACCTGACCACCCTCTCTGTGAAGAAGTTTTTGTTAATATCCAATCTAAACATCCCCTCGTGAAGCTTGAGGCCATTACCACTTGTCCTGTTACTTGTTATTTAGGGAAAGAGATCAGCCACATCCTCTCTCCATCCTCCTTTCAGGCAGTTGTAGAGCTTTGCACTAGGCGGGTCCCTGTGGGTGTAGTTTTGAACATGGGCTTCCTGCTCCTAAAAGAAAGTACAGTGAACTGGACCACTGTAGGCATAGCAGCAGCAAAATTAATTGCAATGAAAAATGCTCTTTCTCCTTCATCTGGTGGTTGGCAGTGGTGCATGGAGTGCTTAGGTAGAGCCTTTTACTTTAATACAGCAATGGAGATAACTCAGTGATGCTAGGTGGACTTGACAATCAAAACTGGGAATTCACTTCCAAACAGCAGCAGGTATAAATCTTGAGGCAGTGGATTATTTTTCTGCTCCAGTCTGCCACAGCTCTGATGGTTAGGTGTGCAAAGAACTACTGCAGGCAAGCTCTGTGTCTTTTTAAGATGGGAAAAGTCTGGCGCTCATATTTAATTTGTTACTTCTATTTTCCATTTTCACAGATAAAAACAGCAGTAACCTTACCCCTGGTCTAAGCAAGTAGAACCAAGCAAAAGGCAATAGGTTGATGCCTCTACATTTTAGATAGTAACTGACACCCGTGATTACCGTGTAAATGTAATACTGCAGCTATCCATCATGTTTATAATGTCCCCAGCTAGGTACCAAAGCTAACTCTCCTTGACGCTCTCTGTGGGAACACACTTTTTATACGTTTCTGCCTTTTTTTTTTTTCTTCATTTCCTACAATTTTGACATCATCACAATAAGTTTCTCCAAAATTCTTTCATTATTGTAATTAATTTAATATCTCTGCTGACATACACTATAAGTAGCATTTGATATTCTATGATTCTATGACATAACATTTAGCATATTTTACTGACATTGGGAATTTAATTAAGCAGAAGAGTTTTAAGAAATGTCAAATGATTACTCCCTCCTCAGAAGGTTACATTTACCGTGTAAAATCTAATCTTGTTCCTTAGTGAGCCTTTCCTAAGAGTGAAGAAAAGTTACAAATGGCTATTTAGAAACTGCTACACTAAGGCCTCTGAAACAAAAGCCTGTTCTCTTCACAGGACAGCTTTAAACTTCATACATGTTCTTTATCAACAAAGTTGTTCCATTACAGTAATTCTTTCTTTGTTTCAAACAATAGGTTCCAAGGCTGGTGTTTGGTGTGAATCATCTTTCAAATATAAATTGTTAGTTTGTTTCCAGGCCCATGAGGAAATTCTGTAGCAAGTAACGTTGATTTGCAGTAGGGGTGACTTGTGAAGCAGATACATAATCCTGTACTTCACCTAGGGATTATCTGCAGAAAGCTTGTAATCAAAACTTGAATCGTCACTCTTAGAATAACTCTTTAACTACCTCATTAGTCTTGCTTGGCTTTCGTATTCAACCAGGTGTACTTATGAAACTGCATTAAACTCAGAAGGAAAACATTCTCTCAGATCTCCAGTATTCAGTTCTAATTGTAAGCCGTCTTCTTGGGATAGTGAAACCTTTTTCTTCTTTCTGTGTAAAAGAATGAGCAATATAAACATGGTGATGCATGAACAATATAAACAGATAAGTGTGTTTTGGGGGGTTTCAAAACCTTTCTCAGAAACTTCCTTTTAAATATTTCCCCAGTTTATGCAGTTATTTATTAAAGAACATGGATAATGTATATAAATGCATTATATAACAACCCATCACCACCACCACCACCTCCAAAATAAAAGCAGCAGAGGAGAGCATGCCAAAGCGTAATACTTTGTCATAAAACCTAAAATGAAGAGGTGGGTCCTCTGCTGTGCCCTGTGTTGAAAAATGTTAGTGCTGCTGAGCCATTCAGGGAACGTAATTCCACAAGTGAGAGCATCCTTGTACTGAGCCTGTGCTTTCCCCCTTCTTCCGCTCTATGGGGAGCTGGTGAGACTTGCTGGCTCTTACTCTTAAGACCTATTTCTTAGAGTTCAAAATGATGACATAGTTTGTTTGCCTGAAAGTGAATAAACAGTGACTGCAGCCTTTGGGAAACAAGGGTGATATTTTTCTTGTACCTAATACTTCTGCCCTAGCTTCTCTGTGTATCTTTTGTCCTACACACTCATGATTCTTCTCGTCCTTACACATCCTCTTTATGGCACAGTCAGCTTTCATTCCCCGCCTTCTCTCTCAATTAACTAGTAGAGAAATCTCCCATGTTTTTCCTAGATGGTTGTCAACACATCCAACTTCAAATTCTTACTTTTTTTTCTCCCTGAAGTCCTCCTTGCTAATGTGTGTGTTGTGGCTCCCTCTTACAGTCTGGAGACTGGACTGCCAGTAATTTTTTGCAACACGTGTTAAATAGGCTTCCCACTTAGATGAAACAGCAGCAGAGCTGAGATAACTCTGTTAAAGAAGGCATATAGATAAGAATAATGTAACTCACCATGTAACTTCCTATGTTCTAATATATCCTGCTAGGTATTTTTGAAGACTGACAGTGAATTAGTTTTCTAATGTTATGTCTAATACTGCCCTGAAGCAATAAAACTGTTTTCTTCAAGGGAGTTTATTTCTCTCTCTTATACTTGCCCCCCCCCCCTTTTTTTTTCTTTCCTTCCTGTTTTTTCTTTTCCCTTTTTTTTTTTTAACTTTTTCTTTTCTCTTCCCTTTTTTCGTTTTTTTGTTTGTTTGTTTGTTTGTTTTTTAATTTCTTTTGGTGGTAGTAGTAGTAATAGTAGTCAAGAAACACAGACTGACAAAGCCCTGCTTTGGAATCACATCATATGTCAGGGGGTGACAGGTTGTACTGCTGAATCATATATTGCTGCTGATGTTTGTGCCTCCATGCTGAGGCGATGACATTGTAGCCTCTTTGTATGGCTAAAAGGTGCCAGGAGCAAAGCAGGTTGCAGGCAAGACAAGGGTTTCAGTCACTGAAATGCCCAGCACATGCATCTTCTGCTGAGCTCAGTAGAGTTTGCAAGTGTTCTGCTCCTGGAAAAGAAGATACCAGGCCTTGAGTGGCTAAGGAGAAAGTGACACCTCAATTATGCTAGTGGTTTTCCTTAAAAACTACTTAATCTGAATATTGTAGCACCTCTGTGGTTTTAAAAAGAACCCCAGAACTTTAGCACTGGTTTCTTAAGACTAAGTATTATCTTTGTGTTCTGACACGAGCAGTAACATAACTAAGCGTTCCGTGGAATGGGAAGTGTTTTGGAATGAAAAATACACAATGAGAAGAAATTTCAAAGTAACCTCTTTTGAAACAGTAGTACATTGATTTTTGCTTTTGATGGAAACTTCATTTCCTTTAAATGCTTCAAAACTCAAAGAAGCAGCTTTAGTTAAGATGGTTTAGTTCTGGATTCTTGAGTGTCAGAATTCTTTACCATAACCTTACAGTGCTCCTGAAAATGGATTTGTCTGACTTGTGCCGAGTCCAGAGTTTGCAGGGAGGAGGTTAACTTACAACATCAGCACAAGTGCATTCTTCTACAACATACTTAGAAACTTACAACCATTATTGCCTGTGTGGAGGTTATGGACTTAAATGTTTCTGGTCATCTCATGATCTTTATGTTTTTCCCTTTTCAATTGATTAATTACAGCTGAGCTGGGAGAGTGTGAGCACCCAGAGCACACACCAGAACTTGTGTCTGAATTCAGGTTTGCACCAAACCAGACCGAAGCAATGGAATTTGACATTTTTCAGAAGTGGAAAGAGTGCAGGTAGGGTACCTGTGTGGGAGTGGAGTCTCTAGCAACAGGAGGTTTTCTTCTAAAGTCAGATATGTCCGCAAGAACGCCTTCAATAGATGTGAAACAGTGACAATGTTTGTCACATGAAAAGTATTGTAAACAGACTTTGAGCCCTCCCCTCCCTTAGAAATGGCAAGTGGTAATTTAGGGAAGGTTGGTGGGTGAGCTTTAATTCTTTTCATTTTCGTTTAGATAATTTCATAACAGGTTAAGCAGTCAGGTCTTTTTGCTGTTTATGCTGGAAATTGTTCTCTTTCTCCTTCTGTCACACATACGCACACAAAGTTTTGTATTCAGGGTAATAGTAAATTCTTTTTCATGTCTTTTGTTAGTAAGTATAATAGATTTTGGTGATTCTGTCTTACCTGTGCTTTCAGCCGTATTGTCAATTTGAGACCTTTTTCAATTTTCATCCCTCTGATTTGCTTTTCATTTGGAGAGAAAAGGGTAAAAACATAAGATAAGCTTGAAATATCATTCAGTGTCATTAAGATTGGGGTCCTGAAGAAAAAGATTAGGGGAAAAAAATTTAAAAGATTTTAAATTGACAAAAATTTCATACCATAAAGTATAAATAAATCTTATGTTCTTAGGGGAAAGAGTCCAGCACAGGCTGAATTGTGCTACTTGAACAAAGCTAAATGGCTAGAAATGTATGGTGTAGATATGCATGTAGTTAAGGTAAGATCCATGTGATTCTTTATTAATGTGGGGTCCCTCAGGTGTGGGTCAGCCCCTCAGGGATATCCTTGTGGTGGTGTGGGTTGCTCCATGGCCCATGGTCCCTCAGAAGCACCTCCCTCCTGCAGGGCTTCTCCCAAGAATGTGTCTGTAGCACACATGTCCCCCAGAGTATCCCTTTCCACATGCCTTTTCCCATGTCCCTTGATTTTTAACCTCTTTGTCTCCTTCCCCTGGCAGCTACTGCTTGCTCTTCAACATAGGTGAGCTGAGGTGTGGGCTCCCCTGGGTGCAGTACCAGTGCGGGGCTGTTTCCATGGGCATTAGAGCCATCTGGGGCAGCACATAGCCCTCTCCCATGCAGGGCACCCTGCAGCCTTTTGTTGCCAAAACCTGCTAGTTTGCACCCAGTACAAATGTATATTCTCCTGCTCTGTAATGTTAAAAAAATATGCAAACCTATTGATTTTGAGATACTACTCTAGTCAGATTTACTCTCCTAATGGCATATTGATTATTGATTCTGTGCTTGCTCGCAGGGAAGAGATGGTTGTGAATACGCTCTTGGACTGACACCAACAGGCATATTGATCTTTGAAGGAGCCAACAAAATAGGCTTATTCTTTTGGTAATCTGTTTTTGTGTTATGTTCCTTTCTGCTAAAATGCTGCAATGTCTCTCCTTTGCATAGTGGCATCTTGACTATACTTTGTAATGTAGATTGAGTCTGCAAGGTTGAAACATCAAGGTTAAATCTGAAGGTAGATTGGCTTGGTTAGAAATACCACTTTCAAGTCCCAGAGTCAGCTAGGTTGGAAAAGACCTTTAAGATCAAGTCCAGCCATTACCCCAGGACTGCCAAGTCCATCAATAAACCGTGTCACTGAGCACCTCATCTACACAGTTTCTGAGTGCTCCCAGGAGCAGTGATTCCACCACTTCCCTAGGCAACCTGTTCCAATGCCTGACCAACCCTGTCTGTGAAGAAATCGTTCCTAATATCCAATCTAAACCTCTCCTGGCACAGCTTGAGGCTGTTACCTCTTGTCCTGTGGCTTATTACCTGGGAGAAGAGACCAGCCACCTTCTCTCTCCATCCTCCTTTTAGGTAGTTGTAGAGAGCGATAAGGTCCCCCCTGAGCCTTTTCTTCTCCTGACTAAATATAAAACATCTGTTGTAAAATATTAACATTTCCAGGAAATCAAACTTTCACTGCAGTTCCTGAAGTGTTCCAGAATTTCATATCCCTCATACATTTTGGGGAACGGTCCTATATTACAGAATGACATTTTCATGTTAATTTTCTTTTTGCTTTTTTGTGTTTAGGCCTAAAATCACAAAAATGGACTTTAAAAAGAGCAAGCTAACGCTTGTGGTTGTAGAAGATGATGAACAGGTAACTTTCTTCCCTTAATTAGGCCTGATCCAACAGAGTGTGGTGTGTGCTCAGGCTGGTAAGAATAAAAGAGAGGTTCAGCACACTGTTGGCCCAGGCTGTATTTCTCCTACCAAGGATAATAACTAATATCATGCATGCCAACTTCCGAAGCTTTTGTTTCTGCATTTAGGGCAGAGAGCAAGAGCACACATTTGTTTTCCGGTTAGACAGTGCCAAAACGTGCAAACATTTGTGGAAGTGTGCAGTGGAACACCATGCTTTCTTCAGATTGCGAGCCCCAGCAAATAGCAAATCTAATAGGTCTGACTTCATAAGGCTGGGATCACGCTTCAGATTCAGGTATTTAGCAAAGTAACAGCAATACATTTGAGTTTATACAAAGCAGCAAAAGGCAGTGGTAAACTTTGTTTTTTCCTGTATTTGAAGTGGGAGGACAGAGTATCAAGCAACACATGGGACAAGGTTACGCAGAACTAGTACATTTGAAAGGAGGCCCAGCAAGCGATACCCTTCTCGAAGGCATTCAACTTTTAAGGGTAAGTGTTTGTACATGTGCTCACTGAACTGGTCATGCAGGTGTCCTGTTATTGTATAAATGTCATATTAAAATAGTAAAATCTGTACCACAGTATAAAAAGAAAAAACATGTCAGATCACCTAAAAAATCAGGATGTACATGTGTGGTTTTTTTTCTCTGAAGTAGAGTCCATGGTTCGTATCTGCTGGTTTTAATCTCTGTCTGCACTCAATTCTTCCATCCCAAATCTATGGACAGGGAGGTACCTATGGTTTCTTTTGTTGCTCCAGTGAGCAGGAAAGAAAAGTTGCATCACACTCAATGAAGGAAAGCATGTAACATTTTCTTTGAAGAAGCACATTTGTTCTGTAGAGTAGAGCAGCATCCAAAAGCCTTGCTGACTTGCTTACCTAGCCAGACAGCAGTCTCATGCAGTTTTTGCTGCTTTCCTGACTGTGATGGCTTGTTATTCACCTATCCAGACTCTGACCTTAAATAGCTTTCTCTGGGACTTGAAATGTGCTGAATTTTAATGGAATGACAAGGAACTGATTTCCCTTGTGGTTTCTGTCATTTTTCCTTCAGAAGTGAAACTGAGATTTCCATTCCTTGTAAAAAAACTGAGGAAGGAGCAGTGCAAGACAACTGCCTCTAAATTCTGTATTACTTGGGGTTGAGGCTGTAGTTGCTGTAGGATGCAACCACGACAGTGACCTACATTCTCTAAGGATGTCTTTGCATTCCGTTGCATTCCTAGAATATGAACCTCAGTGCCATGAGAAATCCTTGTGATATTATGGGTGCGCACTTTTATTTCTCATGTACAGGGGGGAAAGGGTAGCAAGCAGGCATCCTTCCTAGGGGCTGTAACCTCCTCCTCCCACCTTTAGTACCCTCAGTTTTTTATGGCAGTGCAAATTCATTAAATTTGTGAGATACTGTTATGCGATACATGATAATCAGTTATATGGTAAGTGGGGGTGATTTCATAAGTGGAAGTATGGATTATTGCAATTTTATTTTTACAGTACCAGCATCTGTCAGACCTACAGTTTATACGTTGTGTCTCAGTACTTGTGCACTTATGTCTGGGAGGTGGGGGGGAAGAGTGAAAGTATGGCTTATGCTTGGTTTAGTTCTCTGTGCATAGCAGCCAGGCAGAACTGTCTTTGTCAGAAGACAAACCCCCAGATGATCTCCCTCCAGAGTGCTCAGCGACATGATTTAAGTTAATGCCAAAACTGCCTTTAGATGGCTGACTCCTTACCTAGTAGCAACCCACAAGCATTGGATTCTGTCCTAGCTCAGTCTCTTTGAGACTTCTACAGTGCCTCCTGAAGTTTATCATCCACTTTCTGTATTCAGCAGGGGCTTGGATTTTCAGCTGTATCACTCAGCAGTTTTTCAGTGCTCTTGAAATATATGCTGTTTGTCAGGAAAAAAATTATCTATCCCAGTTACTCAGCTGCCTTTTTCACTGTTCTTTCCAGCCTGTCCAAAGCACAAGCCAAGACCTTGTTGCTCAGGGTTGCTCGGTGCCTTCCTGTATTCCCAACTGATGGGCTTTTTTGGCTACTGTCATTCACTGTAATAAGACACAGGCTATTACCAGCCTCAGGAATACTCTGGCTTCAGTAAGATGCAAAATTCCTGCGAGGAGTTGCTTCAGATTTTCAAGGAACTCAGTGTTACTGACATGGTAGCTACAGCAAAGTGGAGAAGTAGCATCCTGGTTGTGCAGAACTTGATCTGCCCATTTTTTTATGGGCTTTGCCTCTTGCAGAAACAGGGGCTTGTGCCTGCCTCATACTCATGTACTCACACTGGAATGGTACAAAGCACAGGGCGGTAGTTGTGATTGATGCATTTGTGAAAATATGTCTTTATGAGGATTGGCTTAAACTGTAGTATAACATCCCAATCACAATAGCTGCAGAATGACTGATACTTCATACAACTTAAGACTTTTTGTTTTATTTCTTTTTAAGCAAACAATCCTGTGAAAGCAGCACAACTGTGGTGAGTGCTCAAGTTCTCTCTATTGCTGTTGTCAGGCAAAAAGGATTCTGAAGACCATGTCTGCATTAGGATTTGTTAAATTCTGTGGTGTGGGATGAATGAATTGCTTTGGGATCTCTCATTATACCGCACCAGATTCTTCTTGGGGACTGCCTGTGAGACTTTAAGTACTTTCATTTTTTTAGTTTTCTTTTGGTGTTTGAGATCAGACTAAAGTAAAACATATTTCCTTTCTGCTCATTGCTATTGAGCTAACTTATCTAGCATTGTTTGTTCCTGCTTCACAAACGTAAAATGAAGAAAAAAAAATGCACCCCTTTTTCTTGCACTCTATTTTCTGTAGTGTATATTAGAATAAAATATTGGTGTCCTTATGAATACTAATTTTACTTCACTGTAATACCTCCCTGAAGAATAGAACCCTGAACTATAGGAAATGTTGGCATAGATGTATTGATTATATAAAAGCTAATTTTCTTCCTCCCTTAGTGCTAAAAATACTCCTGAAGTCCATAACTACCAGGTAAGAGATAACAATTGTTGAGAATATTGTCATTTTATTATTTAGAAGTAAATTTTTTTGCTCTCTATAATTACCACAGCTGTTTTGCTTCCGTTTCCTTACTCTGGGGTGGGATTCTCTGAAGAGGTTCAGAAATTAACAGCATCACATTGGGAGTTACAGGGAAAGTGGAGGGACTCTTCCCTATTCCCCTGTGTTCTTGGATGCTCTGCAAGCTGAATACACTTCATTTGCCACACTCTTTTCCCTTCCCTTTCTGTGAAATCACAGGTTAAAGCCCTTGAGACAGTGAATATGATAGACCCCAGGAGACTGCTCTGTGAGCAAGCTTTTGTCTAGGACAGCCTCTCACTGGATGATCCCTGCCAACAAACTCAGTTTCAATTATCTGCCCCATCACAACACTTAAGGAGTTCATTGCTGGTCAAATGTTTGTTTGTTGGTTTGTTGTTTGTTTTTTAACAAGCTCCTTCATACACTTCAGGGAAAAACCTTGCCCAGTTTTCATTTATGATACTAGCAGTCATTGCTACCAAGAAAGCAGGCTGTGCTTTCATCCAAACTGAGTGTGTGCATCAGAACTTAGTCTTTATACTTGTTTTTATTAAAAGCCTCACTAGTGATTTTGTTTCACTGTTTCTCCTCAAGATCCTGTGGATATGAGAGAGTAACACTGTCACCAAAGATAACTGACCTTCTGAAGACGGCTATTATTCTTGTAACCTTTCTCACTCTCCACCTTTTATTAAAGCTGACATTCTTTTGATGTGCTTTCTATGAGAAGCTCTATATGTGCCAGGTTGTCTCGCAAATAGAAAGGCAATTTTTTTTGCATTTTCCCATGAGTGTGGCCTAACAAGAAAGCTCATCACCAAGAAGTCTCATATGTTTAATGGCATGGGAGAAGGTCTGAAACAGGGGGTTCCTAGGGCCCCCAGGGAGCATGTTCCTCATGGCCCCAGGAAAATAAAAAGTAAATGTTAGTAGGTAGTTTTTATATGATTTCATTCACTGGGTTCAATGTTTTCACTTGCAGCCCCCGTATCATCCTAATATACTTCCTGCTCAGCCACACTGGCATCCACATACACCTGTGAATGTAAGGTAAGCAATCTTCAGTTTGTGAATGAGATGATTACTTCTTTTGTTATCTTAATCTGTTGGCATGAAGCTTTGGTGGATGTACTGGGCAGTTTTCTGCACATGAAAAGCAAAGAAGTTAGACTTACGTGACATAGAGGCAGTATTAAATAACTTCTATTTAGATTTTGCTTTGGAGTGGCCTAAGCTCCTTGATGGATTAATTTTTCCTTGATTTTTAATTCCGAACTTGAAATACAACTTCAGTGTATTTCTGTAGAGAGTATGTATGTTGGATGGGAAGGTGCTCAGTAGCATCAATAAAACTATTTGTAATTTGATCAGTATTTAACTGTCTAAGACAAAGAAGAAACTAATTTTAGGGTAAGATTAAGTTATGAGTGGACAGATTCTCGCATTGCAGCACTTTTTCTCACCTTTTACAGAAATGTATGTGGAAAAATAGCATGTATGTGGAACAATGTATCAAGCACTTTGCAGATAATTAGTGAAATTACGTTATGGAGTTTTGGGAACTGTTTCACAAAAATACTCCTATATGTGGTTTGTGCTATCTTCTTGCATACTTTTTATTTTGTAACTAGTAAGGAGAAAAATTCTGTGAAAATAAATTTTGGAAGAAATTCAGTCTGAGTTAGAAGCAGCTTGGTGGAATGCACAGTGAAGGCATGCACCTGCTGGTAGATATGTGTCTGTGCATGTACATGTGATAAAAAGCAGCTGCTATTTCATCCTAATACAAATTAACCTTTTTAGGCTACTCAGTGGTTTAGACAAATAATCACTCTTGACTGAAAAATACCAATACCCTAATCTTCATTCCTATTCATCTTACATTTTTCTCTCTATATGTAAAATGGTTGAAAAGACAATTTAGTCCAAGTTTGAGTCTTGACAATGCAGGAAAAGGCAAATATGTTATTAGAAATACTTACTAGGCAGAGAAGCAGACATACTCGTTTTCATCTAAAAATTCCTAGCGTAGAGCAGTAAAGCAGCTACGAAATTTTTGCTGCAAACAGAAGACTTTAAATTGGGTAATTAACTTTGCCTGTGCTTCATGTTCAGGATTCTTCCTGTTCAGGGTTTGTTTGTCCTTCTAATTGTGCATGGTTTAAAATGTAGAATTTCACATTACAGAAGAGTGATTGCAGAGAGGTTAATGATTTTATCAATCATTTTGAGGTTTTGCTGAATTTTTTCTGAAGATTTCTTCACTTAGGATACAAGTCAGTAACATTTTATAGCCAAATAGTTCACCCTGGAGCAGAGTGATATTGAAACAAGCACAGTAATGTATTGTAACGTGTGTAGACATTCTCCCCTTCAGCCCCTCCACTGCCTGGGCAAAAATAAAGGTCAATGAAATATGAACAATGGCTTTTTTATAGCTAGGCTTGTAAGGCTAAAAAACATACTTAAGAGCTCAGTCATGCAAGCTTGGTGGAAAAGGTGCTCAGTTTTTTTGTCCCAGTCAGGTAGAAGCATTTAAATATGTGGTTAAAGCAGAAGCTTTAAGTTATTCTAACTTGGGGTCAGAGTGGAAGGGTTGGATGTTTAACATTCTGGATAGCTTGATTTGAGAAAGCTTAATCCATTCAATTATGAACTTCAGAACAAATCACAGATTCATGACATTCTTTCTTTCTGCTGGGCATGCAGATAGAATGGGCCAATGGCTGAAATGGAAATACATGTGCAATATATGTTGTTATATATGGGGTTTTTTGTTGATTGATTTGTGAAATATGTGGAATTGTGTCTGTCGTGTTAGTAAGATCCTTTCAGTGAAATTATTTATTTGCAGTTAACTTAATATTCAGTCTTCTGAGAAAATTCATTCCAGTTAACATTTGTCATTATATAACGTTAGGATATCTAAAAAAAGGTAAACTCTAAACCTGCATGTATATCTGCTATCATAACAAACAACAAACATTACCAGAATAAGAAGTGCAACTGCAGTTTGGTAATAAGGGAATCCCAAGTACTGTGGCTTCCTACATATTGTTCAGATTTTGTTTAGTTAGTTATTTATCCCAGCACACACACACGCACACAAATGATTAGGAGGCACTGTAGGAGTGGTTGAGGTTGATATCTCCAAGCAGCAATAAATAATGAACAAATAAGGGAAAAAATATTTTTCCTCTTAGTACTTCGTGCTAGTTTCACCACAGTCACAGATAAATACTGGTACTTACTATGGACTCTTAACAAAATGCGACTGTGTAGCTCACAGGCTGCCTCTGTGTGATTAACTGCATCAGTGCTGAGTGAGGAGCAATATCTACAGAAGAGCAATTTTTATTCTTAGTAGAATGTTTTTTTAAACTTTTTAGACCTTAGGGATATATTTTCATGAGCTCAACTTTTTGCATGATACGGTTTATTTTACTAGATTGTTGTTAGCATTTAGTTTTCCTATAGCCTCCTCCTCCCGCCCCGCCATCCCTCTGAGATTCAGGAGCAGTGATGCACGACACTTGTCTATAAGACTTGAAAACAGAAGGTTTTTAAGGACTGAGCTCTGATTCAAAGCCTTTTGAAATCAGCTAAAAGATTCCCATTGCTTCAGTGGCTTCTGCATCAGGCCTGTAGGTCTGTCAGCAATTCTCTCCCTTGCTGTTAGCTACCGATCCCACTATATGCACGCTTAGCACTTGCTGGATGAACTCATGTAGCTGTATAGCACTCATAAGTTTACTTCCATCTCTCACTAACCAATAACTGTGCAAATGGTACAGGCCACCCTATCATGATGACAGGCCATATTGGAAACCCCCCACAAGTGGAGAGGACAGCAATTTACGATATATCCAGGAACAGAACCAGAAGAATTTAGGAGGCGTCCAAAGCATGGTGTACCAAGATAAACTCATGACGACACTCTGAAAAACAGCCATCTTCATTTCACCTGCCATCTCAGACGATCATTGCATTCCATGGTCCTTGTCTGTCTGCAGTACGTTCAAAGTGTATTGTGCATAATGTGTGTGTCTTTGTATGTACATCCATCCTTGTTTAGTGTTCATGGACATCCTTGGGAAAAGTATTTTCCATATCTTTGTAAAAAAAAAATCTTGAAAAACCTTTTGTGAAAGCTGGTGAGAATTTCCAGTGCCCCAAGACCAGAAATATTTCTGGGGATTTACATTCCACCATACTTTGGAATCTGTGACACTCTGCCTGCTGGTGAAGATCAGCCATTTGTGCCTTAGTTATTTTATATCATCTTGGGGTTTTTTGAGTCAAATTAATAGGTGAAGTTTGCATGTCAACTACAAAGTTTCTCAAATAGGAGTTTGGAGGGAGGGAAAAACAGAATTCGCACTGGCAATCAAACCGGCTTGTGGACCACCAACAAAGGGAGCCTGCTGAGGTAGTCATAGGTTTGGGTATCTTTTGCTTTTAATCTTTTGTGTTCTGCGGCAAAAATAGAGGTGCTTGCCTAACTTAAAAACAAGTCTGGAGAAAGAACACTATCACAAACTTCATGGAGTGTGTATATTCCTTTTTTGGCTTACTGATTATATTGATAGCATTCCCCAAAACCATACCTGCTGCTATAAAGGCAAGAATGTTAAAAATGGATCCTTGCTGAAAGGGTGCTGCTGTCTTCTTATTTGTAATGTGATTATGGAAATGAACTATACAATCACATAAAACTACCTACTGATAACTTCTCTGAGTGGATTCAGAAACACAGCTCATAATGGGTACACTTCAAGATGAGGACAATCTGGTGAAATAACTCTGTTTTATAAAGTTAGATGTTTGCAAAGTTGAATGTACATTTTACAAACCTAGGTCTTTAAATAGGCTTGGCTGGTATTTTGATCACTTGCCGATTATTTTTTTTTATCGTATTTTTAAACTGGAAATCATAGTGCCATGTTCACTTGTGCATCTCTTTTAATTAGGCCTTGCCTCTGTGGTCTGTCTGAAGTTGTTGGAATAAATCTTCATTTGGGATATTTTAAAAATGAAGTAGTTTTTTACTTGATTTTGATAAATACACGTTTATAAATGGCTATAACTGAATTTGTTTTCACAGCAAATTTGATAGTGTTTAACTTTTTGTGAAATATATTTGTTTACAAATGCTGTCTTTTAATATTTGTTTTGATCTTTCCTGTTTGTGCTAAGTACAAATAAAAACTTTCAATCTTGTTCTGGTTATGATGCATTATTTAATTTTGAAGGATATGGGGGGAGGGTGGGTAGATATGATAGAGTTTATGCTTGTACCTGTTTTGCCCTGGAATCAGTAATGTTATGCTGGATCAGCATTTTCAGTGCAGTCTGTAGAGGGGAAATCAATGAAGCAATTGTGCCAGTAAGATGTGTTGATGCCAGGGTAAGGCCTGAGGTGGGTAATCACAGAGGCTGAATTCAGTTTCCCTAGTCTGCTTTTCCTGTGTTTCAGCAGTGGCTTATGTGGGGAAGGAAGGAAGGAAGAGAAACTTTGCTGGCGCTGTTGGAGCCTAGCTTAGCTGCCACTCTGAATGCCCTCTGGAGGAGGCTTTTTTTTTTTCCTTGAATACACACATTAAAGTGGAGCATTGTTGCTTCGTGATTCACACTCCTACGTTCGTAATACAGTATTGTTCTTGTCGTATAACTGCATTGGCTTCTCTGTGGTCTGTTGTCAGTGTTTCTTCTTATCATGTGCTGTTATCTGTGGTTTGGCTTATTGCTAAAGGTGCACTGAATGAGAGATCTCCCTGACAGATGTCAAGAAAAGACAGCACAAGGCCTAACTGATACTTGAGTATTAAAATGCCGCATTCAGGAGTCTGCCCACTGGTGAAGAACAACCTGCGGGACTCGTGTGTTCTGCAGTTTGTGTGTGGCACCTCAAGGGAAGCACTTGTTACTCTGCTTCTCTGGAAGAGGAGCTCATACACTCTGCACTGTCATTTTTTCATCCCACATCCTACTTGCTGTGTGCAGAAGTCTCTGTACTAGCAAAATCACTGAGCAGTCAGATAGGTAAGAAGAGATCAATTTCTCTGTCCTTCCTCGCTCTAGTCTTAGTTGGCTTCTTGCAGCAAATGGGCTGGGATACAGTTGGGAAGAGGAGGAGTATATCTACCTGCTTCTTCTCTGACCCCAGCACTGCTATGTGCAGTAAGCCTGTGCAGCTTACCATACCTGAGCAAAGGTGGATATGGATAGTATCCATCTGAACAGGGTAATACAAATAAGTTGTTTTAAATTTGAAAGCACACTGGGTTTTCTAAAATTAGCACACTTATTACTGACAAAGTATTGTTTCTAACAGGTGACTAATACAGGCTTAGTGGTGTTAGGATTCTTAAGTTTTGTCTTTGAAGCAATGTAGAGCACTGCAGGTGAAAACCAGATTACGTGGGGAGAGAGGAGAAAGGTGGAAAATGTTTGGTTAACTCCACTGTTAAATGTAGTAGCACCTTTTGTTTAGAAGTCAAAACACTGGGGAAGTCCTGGCAATATAAATTGATACTGCATCCTAAATTCATGCTGCTACAGGGAGGCATTGGTGTTTATAGATGCACAAACTCAATACCAGGGACTTAAGAGCCACGGTATGTGAGTGTTTATATGTTATATTGAGTGATTTTTAACTGGGAATTACTCATGAGAAAGTGCCAGACAGTTTACCAAAGAGAATGTTATGCAGTCATGCTGGATACAGGAAACTCAACACACGTGTTCTAAATACACAGGGAAGTTGGTTTTGTTTTAAAAAAAGACCTTCAGACTGCTTGAAGGAGGTACCTACCACCTTCTGAAACCAAAGGAAGCACATTCTCAGCGTACCTGTTGAACCCTGTGTGCAAACTTTCTCCATCCCATTCTGAAGTGTGTTCATTGTGCATGGTTGATACTGTCTTTTTACAAGTCCAGCACACACTTGGAAACCCTTCTGTAATCTGATTACAGGTAATAAACTCTATCCTCGCAATGGGATGGAGGGTGTTATTAGTCATCTGGGTAATTACACTGATCTGAAGTCTAGCGTGTAATCGGCAGCATTCTTCCACTCGCTGGAGAGTTGCTTCATACTTCTTGGTTGAGGGTATCTTCTGATGGTCTCTCTGCATACCTTCCTCCTGCATTCAGTGAAGCTGGAAACCAATTCTTCCCCAGCAGAGCTCAGGCCTAGCTCTCCACTCCGTAGATTCAGATTTACTGGGGAGTTACTTTTGCTCTGTAATAACTCTGTAATCGTGTGACCTGTCCCCAAGATCTGTTAGGGGAATCAGAAAGGTGGCAATACCACTTCTGTAACTTGGGCTGAAATGTGTTGCTCTTCAGTCCCAACCAGACCCTGGCATGCAGACTGATGACTAGTATTGAGTACTGAAATACAACACCGAAAGTGATGGCACTTTTGGTTAATTGTTTTAGTGTGGGCTTTTTCTTTAATTTTCAGCTATTTTTCGCTGACGTGAGTCACAAGCAAAGTGAACAAAGGGATTGGGTTTTGTAATGCATTTCCAAAGCTGGCAGCAGGGGATTGCACGCTTCAGGAGAAGAATTGACAAGTCCTTCCAGACCCTTTAATCAGTGAACCCACATGCAGATTGACCAAAACGAGGATTGCTTTCTCACATTGTGGATGGGAACAAAGCATATATTACAGCCTTTTGATGTAAAATGCCTTCCTTCTGGATGAGTGTTGCAGAAGATGCCTTCAGCCTACAACAGAAAGAGTGTTAGAGCTTGCAAGTAATTTTGAGAATGGAACTTGAGCTGCTGGCAAAGAATGAGCTGGGAAATGCCTAAGATGGGGAAGAGTGAAACTGAGTATATCACTTGCTCCTCAGGCATTGAAGTTGGCTGGATGGAGCCCTCTGAGAGGGAAGAGGAAGACAATTCCACACCACAATTATCTGTTTTCAGAGGAGGTTTTCCACAAGTCATTCCGGTTGGGTATCGAGCAGGCTGGCTAGCTCAAAGAAGAGAAGTTTTGACACTCATCCATCCAACCTGACATACCAGATCTCTCAAAAGACTGTTGGTGATGAGTGGTTTTCCTCATGCTATGTGAAGGAGAACCAAGGACATTGAGGGATGCTGTCATTGTAGCATTGCTAATGGTAGCCAAAGAGACTGTTGGAACCAGAGTTGCTGTAGATCAGGTAGCATTAATGGATATAAAGTAGGAACTGTATGTTTTCTAAATTGATCTCAGATTGTGTGCCGAGGGCTGATCCACCGCGACCCTGCCTTTTTTTGTCAAGACTGTGCAAGTCCTGACAAAATCTGCTTTGAGAGCCAGCTTGAACTAGCATTTTGCTGGTCAGGCCTCTGCACCCTAGCCAAACTTGTGCTGCGGTGTGAGGATCAAGGTTTTGAGCTGTTTCAGAATAAATACTTTTCTCTATAGTCATACTGCAATGCTTAGAAAAATACCATGTGCTTGTGCATGCTCCCTAGTTTTAGTGTCAAGGGGCCTGCAGGAAAACCAGTCATCCTTGCTCAGCTGGCACCACACATGTAGAAAGATGAAGCTTTTGGACAAAACCAGTGCTAGTCAAAGTAGATAAGAAATAACGCGTAAAGGGATGGACCACGCTTTTCTACCTGCCTCTTGCAGTACATTGCAAAGCAGCCTGTGGAAATGATGAAGACCTTGTTTGGCTTCACTTGTTTTCCATGTACTGTTTGTTGTTCCTTGAAGTGCTTGGCCAAATCGGCTTCCTTTCTGATTATATGTGCTGTTGCTTTTGTTGCTGCTGCGTCGCAAAGAACAGGTGAAAACTTGAATCAGCTGGAGACCTCCCTTGATATGAGTCACTTTCAGTAATAAAGCTTCTGCAGACTAAATGCTGCTCTCAACTGCTAATGACTGTTTCATGACTCCTTTAAAGCAAAACAACTTACTTTCAAACAGTCGGTTGCACAAGCATTAATCTAGATTTAGTTTATGAAGTTCACAAGTCGAGCCTCTCTGTGCACTGCCCACTGCGTGTATTAGTAGGTGCATGCTACAGAAAATGCAAGCATGTCTGTAATAACTTTCATACTGCTTTTAATTTCTGAATGCATTATGCCTCCAATTTTGAACAGGAGGAAAAAGTATTGTTTTTTTATTTATTTTTTCTTTTTTAATCTGTATTTCCCATCCACATTTCCTAAAGATGGTGGTGGTGTTTTAATTGTTTTTTTCAGATACAATCTTGGCAGTCTTGGCACACAGATTGATGAAGATGAGAAGTTCCACCAGCCTGATATCTTAGACCCAGTGTTACTTCTTTGGTTTGTGTTTCTGGAATACTGGC